ATCGCTTGAACCCAGGAGGTGGAAGTTACAGTGAGCCCAGATCGCTTCATTGCAGTCCAGCCTGGGCAACAAGAGCGAAACTCACTCTCACACACACACACACACAGTCTGGCTAACATAGAGAAACCCCATCTCTACTAAAAAACACACACAAAAAATTAGCTGGGCATGTACCTGTAGTCCCATCTACTCGGGAGGCTCAGGCAAGATAATTGCTTAAACCTGGGAGGCGGAGGTTGCAGTGAGCCAAGATCGCACCACTGCACTCCAGCCTGGGTGACAGAGCAAGACAACGTCTCAAAAAAAAATTACCCAGGTGTGGTGCCGGGCACTTGTAGTCCCAGCTACTCTGGTGGCTAAGGCAGGAGAATCACTTGAACCCAGGAGACAGGTTACAGTGAGCCAAGATGGCGCCACTGCACTCCAGCCTAGGTGACATAGCGAGACCATGTCTCAAAAAAATGAAATAAAATAAAATATAGAAGTTAACTCAGCAGACTGGGCTCAGTGACTCACACCTGTAATCCCAGTACTTTGGGAGGCTGAGGCAGGCAGATCACAAGGTCAGGAGATTGAGACCATTCTGGCCAACATAGTGAAAACCCGTTTATACTAAAATACAAAAAATTAGCCAGGCATGGTGACATGCCCCTGTAGACCCAGGTACTTGGGAGGCTGAGGCAGGGGATTTGCATGAAACTAGGAGGTGGAGATTGCAGTGAGACTAGTGACAGACTTGAGACTTCATCTAAAAAAAAAAGGTTGTCTGGCTGGGCATGGTGGCTCATGCCTGTAATCCTAGCAGTTTGGGAGGCTGAGATGGGTGGATCACTAGGTCAGGAGATGGAGACCATCCTGGCCAACATGGTGAAACCCCATCTCTAAAAAAAATAATAATAAAAATTATAAAAAGTTTGTCCTAACAATTCTACTTTTTTTTCCTTGAGACAGTGTCTCAATCTGTTGCCCAGCCTGGAGTGCAGTGGCACAATCTCAGCTCACTGCAACCTCTGCCTCCCAGGTTCAAGCAATTCTCACACCTCAGCCTCCAGGATAGCTGGGATTACAGGCGTGTGCCACCACCCCCGGCCAATTTTTGTATTTTTAGTAGAGATGGGGTTTCACCATGTGGGCCAGGCTGGTCTTGAACTCCCAACCTCAGGTGATCCACCCACCCTTGGCCTCCCAAAGTGCTGGGATTACAGGTATGAGCTACCATGCCCAGCCTAATTGTTTTCTTAGTTTTTTTTTTTTTGAGACGGAGTTTCACTCTTGTTACTCAGGCTGGAGTGCAATGGCACCTCCTGGGTTCAGGCAATTCTCCTGCCTCAGCCTCCTGAGTAGCTGGGATTACAGGCACGCGCCACCATGGCCAGCTAATGTTTTGTATTTTTAGTAGAGACGGGGTTTCACCATGTTGACCAGGATGGTCTCAATCTCTTGACCTCGTGATCCACCCGCCTCGGCCTCCCGAAGTGCTGGGATTACAGGCTTGAGTCACGGTGCCCGGCAATTGTTTTCAAAGAATATTTAATGAAGCCGGGCGCGGTGGCTCAAGCCTGTAATCCCAGCACTTTGGGAGGCC